CATTAAAACAGCATGATGCATGGCTATGTAGAGTACTTAATTGCACGATATTGTGTTTGAATACCTTATGACTCGTGATTACCTCTACTTTTTCGGTGCAATTATTTGTTTAGAATGATGTGGCGCCATAATGTAGCCGTGTGACCGACTTGCAGTCGCTATATTGTAAAGTATTTCAGATAGGAATTTTGTTATTTTAGGTGTGAAATGATAATAATAGCGACAAATGTCCTATCTGTCTTTATTCATCAATGTGCGTTACATATTGTAATCATCGTACTTATTTATAAATGATACTTTAAAGAAAAGCTAAAAGAGATATCAGACTTGAAATTTTCGAGTTATGAAAGTGATATGAAAGTGACATGTTCTTTATTTATTCATTCAAACAGCAACTCATTTCGACTTTATGCCTCTCTGTTATCACCAATATCACATTCTTCCTTCTTCTTTCCGCGCAGCTAATGATAATAGTGTTGGTCTGTCTTCATGAAATTCTAACTTGGATTATTGATTTATATGCAAGTGATATGATGTTCTTGATGTGATAGCATTATTCTATGAGAGTATGAATTATTCATCAATTGAACGATGGCATTGCACAATTTGGTTATTCATTCGAGGTAAAATTGATGGCTGAATCACAATTTAAGTGGATTGTCACCTTGTAAATTTGATATCTAGCAGAAAGAAATTGTAGATCTGTTTCAACACTTATAACAGTAATAATACTAGTATACTAGTATTATTACTACTACAAATATTAGTGCTTATAGTAATAACAACAGTAACAGTAATAATAATAATAATAATATTAATGTAATAATAAAAATAAAATTGGCCTTTAAGTATTTATGCGAGATGTAAAATGAAGATAAGATAAACACCGCACCGCACTGCGTCTACACAGACTCTTTTTTAATTATACGCATTCCAAACGCAATATTTGTGTGTTAAATCAGATCAAGTCGTATTGCATCATCTTCTTCCGCAGTTGCAAACGATCAATGTTCATCGCTAAAAAAGATACTGACAATCAAGGATTGCAATAATCACTCATCGTCATACCACCTAAGCATCGTCATAATTAATCATAAGATAACGTTGTCCTCGGCTATCAACTGAACTGAGCGTTGTTGATAGATAGATATATACGTGTCTGTGCATTTGTTCCATGACAGTGAGTACTGAATAATAGCAGATCGTTACCGGTTAGTAGTGAGTTCAGATAACAATTATCATGCTGTCTCTTAATAATGCCAGTCTTCGATAGTACATACTTCTTAAGTGATCCGACACGTCATTCTGATGCTCTCTCATTTCTCAGTTAATCATATACAACCATTCGAAGACGTCTCATTTTCGTAACGTATTCGAACCTCGGTGCAAGAACGTGTTGATCTCGACCATTTCGGATTACTCCGAAAATTTTCGACACAAATTTGTTTCTGTTCACAATCCCATTTTACGGATTTTTCGCTATTTTCTCTGTGGGATCAGAGGGTTCGTGGTAGAAATTTGATCGTCTCAGTATTTTTATGCTTACAATTAGTGAACGACTATCACAGAATATTTCTGGCTTTAAAAACAGTTTCCTTTTGATTATCACAGCTCGTCATGATGNNNNGACCCAAGAAGAAGTTTTTTTTGGCTCTCAGAAAAAATCATCATTCAACAGCCGGAGTTAGGGCCTGTACGATGGTTTTTTCGGTATTCGGAGCAGAGCATAGGAAATTGCGGAACTGAATTTTTTTCAAAAGAGCTGAATTTTTCAAAAACACGAATACGAAGCCGAGTTTTTAGAAATGTGGAGCCAAAGATGCAGCCGAAGGCAAAATTCTAAAATGGCGAAGCTGGAGTCGGAGCCGAAATCGTAACCGGAGCTGGGCCAGTTTTTTCAAATGAGACATTGCTGATGATTACTTAAGAGGTTTCTTTAGAAGGTTCCAGTGATGTGTCTATTCCAAATAAACTGTTTTGTTCGGCCAAAAGAGAGTGAGGATGCTTCAAAATTTGGGATGCAAAAACGAAACAATTTAAGCGGTAGAACAGAACGGAACAGCTTTGGGATTTTTGGTAGGGATTGTACAAAGAAGACAGATTGGAACAGTTTAAGAGCAAAAAAGTACTATCTGCGCAAATTGAAAAGGACTATGACGTTAAAATGCGCAAAATATATTCGATATATCATTCCATTTTAAGTAGCGATTGTTACTTAAAGTAAGTCTAACCGGTCGAGTGGCTGTTTGTCAAATGTTTGCACGAATGATCAAATCTTCTTACGAATCCTACCACTTCACTTCACTTTCATTCAGACGTTCGTTTGCTGTTGTGTCTGTTTGACGACCGAAAGCACTACCATCGTCTCGTCTGTCGTCTACATTTTAAATTATACTTTAATCGCTTTCGTAACCTTTTATTTTTGAATAGTCATTATAAAATAATAGAAGGCGTTCATTCAATACAAGATTACGTATTCAATAAAATTCTCCCCACGAACCACATTCAGAACCTTTTCGCACATGTTGAACTGTTCCATTCTGCTTGTTTGTACAATCCGTGGGTTCACAAACTGTATGCTTTGAATATTGGTGATGTTGAAGAAGAAGTGAGCTGCAATCCTTTCTTCGTTGCTGATGTGATGGCAGTAAGTGAGAGTAAACTTCGGGATGCATAAATGAATAGATGCATGCAAAATGATTTCGTGAATGATATTCGATTTTCAACAATTCCCTCTCGGTTCATTCTTATCACTGGAATACATCCACACGTTCAATAGTATGATGCAGCATTTATTTTTACTGATAGTTCCGATTGATAGCAAATTCATTTTTTTAATAGATAGGTCGTGATTACGTCATGACTATATTACGAGCAGTTCATTGAAATCAACATTTTAAAGCAGCTTTCATTGAGTTTAATTGAGATGGTGTGTGTACACATGATTTTTTCAGTTCCACTGAGCACTACTACTGGATACGTAATAATTAAAAACTTTGGTGAAAAACTCATAGGAGTTAGTCAAGAACGTAATCTTCTATCGCCTATTTATGGGATCTATTTACGAGATTCTACTGTGTAAAAGTGTACCATATTCTTAAGATTCGGTAATTGAAGGCCGAATTCGGATATTCTGAATGAAAAATACGATAAGAATCGCTACTCGGCTGAGAAATGAGAAAATTTCAAATTGAATAAAATTTTACGGAGAGCAATTGAATTCGTTGGATGTGTATGTACATGGGATATAAACAGTTGAAATGAAGAAATAGTTTAGGTTTTTGGAAGACAGTTTGGGTCGAAAAAAATGAGTTTTTTTTTTTGTAAAACGAAATCATATGTCAAACGGTTTTAAGAAACTTCGATTGCAAACATTTTTTGAGAATGTTGGGAATAATGCAATGCATAGAATAGCTATTCTATGAAGGTGAAACGGAATGAAGCATCGAAATCTATCTTACAATTAAAATAATATTGCTCGCTGAATGTATTCTGTTGCATCATTTTAAATAGTGTATGATTCAGCAAGGGGTATCGATCTCCTGTCTCTATAGCATTCAAGTTCAAGCCATGTTCTACTTTTCCAAACGTATCCTTATTTATTACAATTGCTTCAAAACAAGAATCTTAACTTCTCCGGCGATCAATTCACGAAAAACCAATATCTATAAGACATGGTCCTGTACGAATTTCATTGTGATCTTAGTGCATCGTAGCATACATGAAACGTCCGTGGAGGAAAACTGTGTAGGCAGTCGAAAGATAGTATAAGCACTTGTGATACGGACGGCTCTATTGATGTGAAAAACCTTGGATCTATGGAGAGTTCAAAGACTAGCGCGTGGAATGATAAGGTGGCCATCAGATGCGTCTGAAGATTATCACATCAGAGCTGTTTCGCACTAAAACTTTCAGATGTAGGCTCAAGCGTTGGTTAATAACCACCAATGCTACATATGAACTGTTTGCTAGATATCACCAATCTGTCATCGACCATCAACCATTTCTCAGTTTCATTGTCATCAGAAATGAAACTTTATCAATGCAATATGAATGAGGCAGTCACTGAACAAAAAAGAGAAATCAGATAGCATCTACGGTATTCCCCAGACCGCTTTTCATCGGACCAATATTTGTACTATGCTATCCAAAACGATTTCGTCGGCTTACTTTCGAAAATGATGAAGAGCAGTAGAATTGGCTTGAAGATCGATTCATCTCAAAAGATCCGGTCCTTTAACGGAGCAGAATCAAACATTCACCCAACTGATAAGGTACACAGATCAAAAATGATCAAATATTTGATGATTGCCTGTGTGTGCATTAAGGATCAAAAATATTTGATGCTTCTAATCTTATCATGAAAATTTTTATCTCAAAAAATTTGACAACAAATATCTACCAATCTAATAAATGAAGAGAACAAAAGTCAGTGTTCGAATATGCTAGAAAAGTGATTCTCATGAAGAAAAATTACCCTTAGAGGTAATTTGGGGGTGTCAGGGGGTTGATGAAGGGTGCAGGGAAATTAGTATTTCGTGCAGCATAGCAGCATTCGCCTTTCTGCTATTTTGTTAGTATCATGAGCTCATTTGAGCCTAAAAAGAAGTCAGTTTAAAGTAGACACAAGCATTGTGCAAAGACTAAGTCAACAGCATTTCGCCTATTTCCAGTACAACTTGGTGAATCAACGGATGTTCGCAGTGCGGCTATGCTCAAAATGTGTTTTTTCAAACACAACAAATGAAGAGTTTCTGTTTTGCTCGAGATTGCAGGCAACCACCAAAGCTGCACATCATTTAAAAGAAGAGACACTTTTTTTTGAGAAACTCCATTGGCATAGCGTTTGGCAATACTGCATGGATGAAGCAGCGGCTATGTTAGGAATGAAATCGGGATTTCAAGCAGTTGTGAAAGAGCGTTTTCCAACTGTGAAATTCACATCTTTTCAAAATGTAACGATATGGATGCCAATCAACAACAGGTCCTTTTTCACACAGATGCTCGATGGTTATCGAGTGTTTTTCTTTCACAAATGGTTATCTCGAGGGCGTGTCGTCGAGCGTTTCTCCGACCTCAGCAATGAATTTGAAGTATTTTTCAAGGCTCAGAATAAGCCGAAATTCAAAGAATTTCTGAAGGTGATGGATCATTGATACGTTTTGCGTATTTGGTAGACATATTTGAACACCTTAATGAACTCAACATGTAAACGCAAGGGAAGAGTGGCGGTATGATAAGGTTTATTGATTGCTTGAAGGCTTTTATGAAGAAACTGGAGAACCGGATAAGGAAGGCAAAGATGAACAATGCTGCAATATTCGAAAAACTCTCAGTTGTTCTTGATGCGGGAAGAGACGGCGAGTTGTTACCAGAAACACAAAAAATTGAAATTTTGGACCATGGACCATGCAGCATTGGAAAACGCATTAAGG